CAATAGTGCTCTGTTAAGAGACCACATTTAAGTATTTACTTAAACTCTATTTACTTAGAAAACAAAACCAGTCCTTATGTTGCAGTCCCAAAACCATTATCAAGCTGCATCATGTCGTACTGTACATACAGTATACCAATAAACCTGGGCGTTGTTCTGTGTTCTTAAAGCTATAAAAATTAACGTAGCATACACATTTACATTCCTTCTCGGATTTATGTAGCGCAACCATAAAACGGAGTTAAATTTTGAGTGAATAACACATGTACAGTAGTAATGGTCTCAGACAATATTTTGAATGTTTTGCATTCGCTAAAGCAGTAAAAGCATAAGTTCAGCCACCAACATATGAAAAAAGTACTCTTTCAGGACAGTATTGTCATACTGTAGTTACATTCAGAGCCATTCAGTTTCATCCATGTTATCTGTCAGAAATTATTAAAGTATACAAGTGGTTGAATCAGTAGTACTGTAGGTTTAATTAGTATACATTTAGAATTACATTTTTATAAAAGAAGTTGCATACAGTACATTAAAGCATTACAATGAACATTAACCTCATGAATTGAACTGCACAAAGGAAGATTACAAAAATGCTACAGCAAATAATAAGGGTTCTAAGATGCAGATATTGTAGATCCCAGTGGCATCACTATACATACATACCTAAAAAGTCATAAAGTCACTAATCCTATTACATTGCTGTCGATTAAACAAATCAGATTTAAGTTGAAATAGGACCTGGTTGATTTTAAAGATTATCTTGATTGATGCTGTCAAATTGCAGCAGTTAGGTCCAGAATAACTTGCATTGACAATCTGCTCAAGTCAGCAGCCATAAGAACTTCCCAACCTTAACCAAGGTGTGAAAGTGAACAGTGGCACCAGTATCATTCAGCACACACTGTAACTTGCATCCTGCTGCTATCACCAAAAGTGGATGCTCAGGGCACAGACAAATGACACAAGCCCTCATGTGACGGGACTGCTCACGCTGACCTCAGGATACAGTACACAATCGTGTTGGGTCATCACTGTACCAGAACTAGGCTGCCAACTGGTCAGAGGAGCTTGAATCAGCAGATATCCAGCTGGAAAATATCAGACATTAAATTGTAAAATACACTTGTGAGGTCAGTGTTTGGTATGAAACCCAAAATAACTGCTCCTATTTGCCATCCTGTGATTCTGTCTCTTCTTCTCTTCTTCCAGCTGTGTCCTCCTGCTGTGCAGCTCCAGAGGGCAGCTCTGCTCTACTGTGTCCTGTGCTGATGCTGAGTCCCACAGACCTCATACACTGCAGTGTCCCTGTGAGAGAGCTCCTGCAACACAGGTCAGAGGTCACTGCTGCTGTCACACAGGGGCTGATAGAGC